TCGTTTAAAAAATGCACCTTTCTTGGAAATCACTATCTGTATTTTCTTTAATAGATGCAAGACTTTGGTAGCTTTTTTTTATAGCTAATTCTTTTGCACCATCAAGGATATCATTTCTTTTTATCCATTTTATGTCACTTTCAGGAGCCACTGGTTTCATTGCATCCCATGGAATGTCAGGTGATAAATTTTCGGGAGCTACCATAAGAAGACCTGTTTCGGTCGAACCATAAGAATTTCGAATTTTGAAGCCAGATTGAACAAGTTGTTCGCCTACTTGAGGTAACAATGCTGCACCACCATAAAATATGGATTTTAAATTTAACAATGTTTTAATTTCATCCGGATAATTTTTATAAATTTGTTCAAGGGTAGCAGATAAAGTGTAAAAAATCCTAGCATTAGATTGTTTTAAACTATGTAAAACTTCATTGACTAAAGGAATTGATCCTGCAACAATTGGAAATGCATATACCGAACCATGAGCTAAAACATATCTTAATGCAACAGCGAATCCATAAACATGAAATAATGGAGGGGTTGATAAAATAATTTCATGAAAATTATTTGTTTCGGCTGCCTTTAAAAAATAACGATTGGAGATATGAACTAATTTAGGAAATGACGTTGAACCGGAACTATGAAAAATTGCAATAATTTTTTCATAAGAATTTTCATCTAATCTTAAAACAGGGGTAAAATGGTCTATTTTTTCATCTTTTAAATTCTTAGGAAATTGAAAAATATTCAACGATTGTGAATGTTGAGAATTGATTTTATTTTGCACATTCACCGAAATTTTTGAAAGTTGAGGATCATAAATAAGAATACGCGATTTAGATTCTTGAAGTAAATGAATCAATGCAGATTCAGAATTTCGAGGACTAAGGAATAAGATTTGAAAGTCTAGTTTCCACAAGGCCATAGAGTTAAACAAATATTCAGGACCACTTTGCGCCAAATATCCAATCACGCTATTTTTATCCAAATTTTTATTCACCAATTGTTTATTCCAATAATAAGCGTATTTATTGATAATAATATCGAGGTCTTGAAGATTAATTTCATCATATTTTGTACCATTGGGGATCAAAAGAGCTTTGTCTTTGGGCCTAGTTGATACTTGATGTTGAAAAGCTTCTAATAAACTTTGAAATTGGCCATACATTTTTGTTTTGATTGCAGGCTATAAGAAATTTTATATATAAGTTTGCAATATTTTTCATTCGTGAAGCATGGCAATTTATGAGGAGTTTGTTAACAAAGTGATAAAGTGTTCATTATTATTAGATCAGATAACTTTCTGAATCAAATGCTAAATTTTCGTTTTATCCTTTTATAGACTGTTTTTCATAATGGCTACTGCATTGTTAGATGCAGGTTTTCTTGTAAGTGGCGAACGGTTATAAATGTTAGTTGATTAGTAAGAAGAATAAGGGGTATTATCATATGGTTTCAAGCATGAATCAAGCATGAATCAAATCAGTAGGGACGGAAGGAGAATGATGTATGCAGTGCATTTAAGGATGATGTTTTTGTAGAGGGAGATTATCTTTCTCTTCGCTATCGCTCGCCTTGCAGGAAGACTGGCTCTATCGTTCTTCCCATCCCGCCCATCTCATAACGATTCAGCAATAAGCTTAATGCTTGACGGCTGGTTTGTAAGACAATGTATATCGGTAAGTAATGTCAGGCTTCACGGTTGCAGTAGCAGTGCAAGGATCTTAGGGTGTTAGGCTCCATGGCTACAGTAATAGTGCTAAATGTGTTGTGAGCTCCACGGCAGAAATATCGGTGCAAGAACCCCTTTTTTTGTTAAATAAGCAGCATCCGCGTCACATCTTGAAACCGATCCTTTTCATGGCTATATGGAAATCTTCGCGATGGCTTTTTTATATGCTTATAAGAAAGTTAGTGGTAGAGGTGGAAATCAATTCTAAAATTGAAATCGATGATTTAATTCGTCAAAATCGATTCAGAATCGATAATCTAATCCCTCAAGATCGATTTAGAATCGATAATCGAATCCCAAGTCTACAGTATTAATTTATTATTCCTTATCGTTATATAAAATTCAAGTGACGGCCTTAAATATTGAATAAAAACTAGCTGCTAAAAATAGCTAAGTTTAAACTATAGGCTTAGAAGTTACGTGATAACTTTATATGCACTGAAATAGCAAACACAACCATATATATATATAGATATATATATATATTATATATATCCGATTATATGGAGTCGACCCAAAGTGCGGATACACAAGCCGCAGCATATATATAACAATTGCATGTAATATAAAATTACAATCGACAAGTATTTATAACTTGTCAATTGTAATTTTATATTATATGCAATTGTTATATTATAAGCTGCGGCTTGTGTTCTGCACTTTGGGGGGCCGCCCTGGTCGACTCGATTATATGCTTTAAAATAAAATATGCAAAAGGGGAGTGACTTTTGCAGATCATAGTGTTATGCGAGTTTTCGATTTTAAGGGATTATACAAGTTTCCAAATAAATATAGATTTACCGTTACTGATTGAATACGTATATGGTTAACTCTTAGTTATAATTGTACAGTATAAGGGCAGAATTCGCTTGTTTTTGCTAAAATTAGAATTGGATCAGGAGTTTCAGAAGGATAGATAATCAATTAACAACACGAGCATGTTCGTCGGAAAGCTTCGGAATATTAGTAGTTAAATTTTATGCACAAAAATAGAATTTTTATTTCAAAAATTTTATTTTGCAGATAATCGCAGAAATTAAAATTAATCACCGCAGAAATTTATAATTAATTTGTATTAGTAAGTCTGATTAAGAACTCATGGGAAATAAAACGGTTTGTATAGCACTTTATATGCATTACACGGAGCGCAAGAACCCTAAGTGTGATCCTAAGGGTCCAATCGCACGGGTGACAAATTTCATGCAAAACATCATATTATAACTATGCATTATTTGGTTATTTTGACGGTTTACAAGTTTGACGCCCAGGTTTTTGAACATATTTTTGAGATATTTGACAATTTCGATTTTTCTGCGTCGAATTTTTTACTGGTTTTGATGAAATGATAATCAGTGATCGTCAAAAGCTGAAATAAAAGGATGTAACGGAGGATTTGATGATCACTTCTATATTAAATTTAAATTTAGCGTTAGCGTTAACAAAAAAAGAGGGGTCCGTTAAAGCCAGGTGCGTTTGGTATAAACTTAGAACTGATCTACATGCTGCATAAATTATTTTCTTGATATTTACATAAACTACAAACCATTACTGCATCAAAAACGTAACCCTAACGGCATCAAAAAAGTAATTCTAACGCACCTGGCTTTAACGTTCCCCCCAAAAGATCAATCCATTGTCACATATCAGATAATCAACCTGAAATCAACAAGGAACTAATTGTGATTATCGTTGTAATTATAATGTAATTGAGTATATAACAATTATTAAAAATTAATAGCAAATTAAAGCCATACCATATTCTACTATAAATAGGCATCATTCCCTCATAACCTATTTTTTTAAAATGCCAGATTAGCGGGAATAACTTTGCTAAAGAAAGATCTCATTGTTATTTCCTAAAATTTATATTTAAAAAAAAGGGTAGACTTATTTTAGTCAGGGATATAGAAATGATCTGCCATATACTAAACAGTTATTTTAAACCCGATTTCTATTTAAAAAAACCTTTAAAATATTCTTGCATAAGTTATTCTATGAATATGTAGTCTAGGAATTGCTTGGGATCCCTGAGGCTTTTAAAAAGTGATTGTGTGCCAAATAACAACACATTATAAAGTCAATTTTTTATAAAACTTATGTAATTTTATAAAGTTATATAAATGTTATATAAAATTTTTATATAAATTTACAAAGGAATATTTGTATAGAACTATAGCACTATAGTGCTACTCTATATATAAACACAAGATTGGTATAACATGTAAATCAAAACAATCTAGCCTTTATAAAAAATAAAACTTTTAATTAAGTTTAGATTAAAGCTAGGGTTAAGGTTAGGTAATGTATAGTTTAAACTAAAATTTTGCAAGGAATTTTTTTTATTAGAACACAAAAGTTGTTTTTTTTAATTAAAATTTTAAGATAGAACTAAATTTTTAAAAGTTTATTATTTTTGTTATACAAAGAGATGATTTGTATATTACACCTGATCTTAAATTTTAATTAGTTACAATACTCTAGCATCATAGTGCCATAGCACTATAAAATAAATTCCAATTTACAAACCTGAAGTAGACTTATATAATTATAAATTTTATATTTTATTTAATATAACATTTATATATAAGAGTTATAGAATTTAATGCATATACGTTGTAATGCACTTCTAATCAACTAATTAAATGTAAGATCAGGTATAATGTTACATGATCAAAAAAATTTAAAACAAGTGTTCATTTTGCTAAAAATTAGCTATAACTCAAAATTTTGCATATGCAACTACCTTTTGGGTCCTAACAAAAAAAATTTCTTGCAAGATTTTACTATAAACTCATTTTTTATAACTACTTTAACCTTATCTAATACTAACTCTAATCTATAAAAAATTATTTTTTTGATTTTATATTATATTAGATCTTATAGAATGCATTACAATATACCTGTGCAAAATGATACGTATATAATTTATTTAATATTTATATAAATATAAAATTATTTATATCTACATAAAATAATTTAATTTACTTTAGCTATTTCTCAAAAGTAGATAAGGTAATTACTGTTTGATACACTAAATAAAAATACTAAGCATGCTTGAAAACCTTTTCCAAATCTCTAATTTAAACTTTAAAATCTAATTCTAGCTTTAATATTTAACTTATAAATTTTTTGTAATTTTACATAGTTTTATATAAAAATATATATAGATTTATATAAATAACTATATAAATCTATATTTGGTTTATAAAATTTCTATATGATTGTTCAGAGTGAAGTGGAGGATACTCTGTTTTTATGATAGCCTGTAATCATTTAGATCATGTGGCTTTGTTTGTCTATCCACTTTTATGAATGTTGATTAGTTGCATATATTCTATTATATATTTGATATTTTATCATTGTACAATCCTTTTATAACAATATATAGGAAAACTTATGTATGATTAGCTGTTTAAATTAATTTAGTTTTACATTATTTATACAGTTTAAAGTACTTTTTAAAAAAAATAAAACTATGATGTTTTTATTATAATTTTAAATATTTTATATTCTGGACTCTTACTGGTTTCCAGTTCCTAGTTTAATAAAACTTTTACACAACTCTTCATAAAATTTTAAATATATCTATATCTAATATACTTTGTAATAAATGATTTTATATTATAGAATTAAAAAAAGAGTCATTAGCTATTTTTAATTAACTATTTTTTAATTTTGGTTTGTTTATTCTCATCATATTTAACAGTATAACATAATATATGTGTGTTTTCTTCTTTATATGATATATGTTTATACTATTTTGGTATATTGTACCTCTATTTTACAGAGATCAACAAAACAATTTCTTTAAAAAAAACTTTACTTTCGCTATTTTCATATTGTAATATAGTGAAATTTTATTAATATATTTTATATTTTATTAGTTAAATATAATTAGTATAATTTTAAATTTTTATTAATCAATTTTTATTAGTCAAATTTTATTAGTTATTTTTCTTATATAATTACAGTCAACTCTCTATAAATACATATCATCAGAACCAAACTTTTGAGAGCTTGCATTTAGAGAACAATAATAAAAAATATATTTATAGGAGTTTAGTATATATTTGGGCCCGAAAATCAATATGCTTTTAAGGAGGTCATATACTTATAGGGATGCATTTAGGGGCTGACTGTATATTCTTTTATGAAAATAATATTATATTATTTACAGAGATCATTATAACTTTTAAGCTCAATCTTGCTTGGAATGCCAAAATAAATCGAGGACCTAATTGCTTTATCAATTCTAATTATAAATGTAATAAAAAATTAGATGTTTATAATTTTGGAATAATTCTCTAGAAAATTTCAAGTAAAAGACCATCATTTTAAACTATTGAATCAAAAATTGCCTGCTGTTTCCACATTTTTCAAGAGAACAAAAAAGAGCCTATAAATGCATACTACCTCGAAATATTGAACTTTATAAA